CCATGTTGGGGACGCAGCTCTGCAGAGCAGCACAGTGCAGCAGTGGGATGTGAAGAAGGGTCTCTGCTTGTGGAGGGGATGCCGTCCCATGCTGGTACTTGTGCTGGGGACACCATGCTGCCACATTACTAACAGTCCTTAATGGGGCGATTCGGATGACTGCTGTGCTTGTAGAACAATAAGCAGTGAATGCAGCCTTAAATAAAAGCTCATTCTTGGACACTTGAAGAGAGCAATGTTATGTCCAGTGCCATACACAGCAAAACCGTGACCACGGGGGCTCTGCCGAGCTCACCTCACCCTCATTCTGAGCAAGAAAGTGGGGGACAAAACCCATCTGGATCTGTGGTTGTGCCACTTCCAAAGGCTTCGCCTCACCTCACCCCACTTATCCTAGAGAGCAGCCCCACAGTGAGGGGGTCAATGCAGGAGGGAGCAGGGGAAGAAAGCATTCGTGGTCCAGGGGAGCAACGTGCTGTGATGGCACAGACCCCCCCAGCCCCCTGCTCTGTTCCCCCCATCAATCGCCACGGAGGGGCCGTGCTGCATGCACACATGGACACACACACACACACCACACACACACACACACTGCTTTATTTTGCTTTTCTTTTTTTTTTTCTTATTTTTTCTTAGCAAAAAAATAAAAATTTATTGTCCTCTAAAAAAAAAAAAAAAAAAAAAAAAAAATCCATCCTGCCCTTGGAAACTGTGACACAGATTGAGATCTTTCCAGCCCCACATGCAAGTTCATTCTGCCAAGAAAAGAGTCTAAACCAGATTTCCGACAGCCAAAACACATATTTACAGAGTACGAGAGAAACGACAGTTGAAATCACAGTTCTATACATGGAATCAACAACACGTTTACACACCATTGATCACCATTCTGCCAACTTCTACACGGACTCGGGGCGTTCCTGCCCAGTTCCATCCTCCTGGGGGTGGTGAGGAGGAGCTGGGCCACGAATCGCCACCAGAAATACTGCAGTGTGTATTATTCTTATTTTTTTTTAATGTATACTGTACTTATTTTGTTTTAACATTGGAAGCTACGGAGCGGGGGAAGCCCCAGGAATCTCTCCACTGCAGTCAGTGGTTGCAGGAATACTTCACTTGGAAAGAAACACTGCGCGATACGGCGGTAACGGCGAGGCTGCTGTTGGCCATCGCTCCATGGAGTAAAGGAAAACAGTGGTGATATTCTTCCTTCTCAGACGGGGGAAAAGGAGACAGAGAGAGAGAGGAACAGCAATGGCTTACTGAGTCCGTTCGGCACGAAAGGCTGCCTCACACGCGGCTCAGGTTCAGAGCACAGAGAGCACAAAGCTTTGGGGGCTGCTCAAGGGGAGCTCCGTGCTGTGCCGCATTGCTGCCTGCCTGGGGCTGAGCTCAGGGGCCCCGAACTGCAGCTCCCCACACCTCTCAGCCCCCTCTGCAGCTACAGCTTTGTTTTCTTGGTATCTCTCTACCCAGGAGATCGTTGTCTCAAGCCATCTGCTTCTATATTGTTTCGCTATAACGAAGTAAAAGCTTATTGACCTTTAAGACACTGTGCTTTCACAACACAAGCCAGGCTCCCCTCCTCCCCCCAGCTCTCAGCTGAGAAGCATCGCCGAGGTCAACGCTTCCCAAAGGGGGAAAAAGTCCATCTCCACCAGGGAGCCTGTGTGCACGGGCAGCACAGGGCAGGGATCACATGGAGCCAGCCCTGCCACCCTTGGTTCTGCTGGATTGCTGCACAGCTCAGAACAGGGAGCTCCTGCCTCGGCCAGAAGCTCGACAGTACGTGAGAGGGGCTGCACACCTCATAGCACCAGGTTGCTCTGTACAAAGTCTTACCACAGCACGCAGAGGATGGCTGCAAAGCTCTGAAGCCACCACGCAGTGCTGGGAGGATGGTTGATGGCCCGGGGCACAACGCTGCCTTCCCCTGTTCTGCCCTGCCTCAGGCAGCAAATGCTGCTCAGCTCACAAAGCTGACCTCCTCATTCCCACCGGCTGCATAAGAAAATCATTCACATTTCAGATACTTTGTTTATAAAGCAGCAAACAAACTCATAGAAACCTCGATTTTAGAAGTGTTTCTTAAAGCACCGGAGGAAAGAGAAGAGCTGACAGGCTGTGCAAGGAGGGCTGAGCTGGGGCCACGGCAGGGCATGGGGACAGGGAAGGTAAAATGCAACGGCCACCCATAAGCTTAGATTTCTTTGGTCCTTCGGTATCAGTTTTAAAAGAGAGAAATTGTTTTACCTTTTGAAAAGGGGGGAAAACAAAACAAAACAACAGAAACACGCTTACTGTGGTCTGGAATGTTCCTTGTGCCCCTCTGTGGAAGCCCCATGGGGACCAAGGGCAAGCATCACCTCCCCATAGATCCTATGGGCACAGCAGGCCAGTCTCAGCTGAAGGGGACAGCATGAAGAGCAAAGCAGGCTGCTGGGCTCTGCCTCTTCGGAATATCAGAGACCTGAATCAAGGGTTTATTTCCTATTATTTAATTTAGATTTTAAAAAAAAATACTTTTTAAATATATATCTTCATCGGGCTTTTTCCTTCTCCTCCCACTCCTCTCCCTTCCCTTCCTTTTTGCTCCAAAAAAAAAAAGAAAAAAAAAAAGAAAAAAAAAAAGAGAAATGTTCACATATTTTAATAAAAGGTCTTTCCTTAAGATCAGACCGAGGCAGATGTGCTGCCCCATGGCACAGACATTCAAAGGCTACATAACCAAACAACATAGCCACTATGTTCACCCAACAGTGTCTCTCCATTTAAAATTAAAAAAATTTAAAAAACTGATGCTAGTTACAATAAAATACACATGGGGGGAAAAAGAGCATTTTTACAAATAAAAAAAAAAAAAACAAAAAAACCCAACACGTTAATGGGAAAAACGAAACAAAAGAACTACACAGAGCTGTACTTAAGAGATCATCTGGGAATGCATATTAACCCTTCCCATACGAAGGAAAGGTGGAATTACAGAAGCAAACCTAATCATGTCTTTGTGTTAAAATAGGAAGCTTTCTGAGAGGCTCTGGTAATGATTTGGGTGCTCCTACAACAACAGTGGGCTGCTGGAGGTTCCAGTGCTTTCCCAAGGGCTGGGAGGGGCAGCGCAGGCAGCATCCCTGCACAAAGCAACAGTACTGAGAGAACGGAGCAGCCTTCTGGTTGAGATCCCAGCAGGTTACTGCAATCCACCCGAGGGGAAAATCCGATGGATGCGCTGGTAAAGGATGTCATGGGAAAGCTCAGCTGCTGGCAGGTCTAAGCTGGAGGCATTTCTTTTCCCTATAAAGAAGCGCACCGGACAGCGTGGCTCGTGTTGGACTGGTCTGAGGGATTTCCTCCTTTGCCTTTCTGAAATGATCTGAGAGATTAAATTCAAATACAAAGAGGATCCTAACGAGGAGAAAGTCCCTGAGCTCTTTTTGCAGGTGGTGTTTGGGGACAACAGCCCGAAACAAACTCAGCAGGTCAGAGACACCAGTGAGAGCTACAGGAGGGCGGTGGAAAGGCCTGTGCTCAGGAATGGAGGCTGAGATGGGAGGAAGGAGAGCCAGAGGGCTGCGGAGCCCTGCAGTCACGTCCCTCCGATGGAGATGCTTCCTTCTGCTCTGAGCTGGCTGGTTCAGCACCCCAGCCTGCACACAGCCACACACAGCAACCTCCACACTGCCACCAATCACAGCACCACATAGAGCAGCTCGTGAGTTCTGAACACTTAAATGAGAATTTGAATTGAAGTCCTCTTCCTTGCTAGCTCCCTCCTCTCTGTAACATTACTAACACGAAAAACAGGGCATCACGAGACCAACCAGCTTTAGAGTTTCCCCATCAACAACACTTTCATATGCACATACAAACAGTGGCTGTGTTCATAAGCTTCAGTGGTAACACGCACTGTGTTTTGTGCCACAGTGATGAGCAGGAAGAAGCATCCCCACCTAGGAGCAGCAGAAAGCAAGGAATGTACGTTCCTCTCCAGCTCCAGCCTCCAGCTGCAATTGATTTATCAGCAGTTGGTTCCATGCAGGGCTCTCTCTCACCACAGGCTGGCATGAGGCTTCTGGATTTAACAGCCCATGGTTCACCCCTGAGCTGCTGAAACAGGGAATGCCAACTCTGTCCAAACAGTTAAAAAAAAGTCCTTAGACTGTGTCTGGAATTGTTTCACGTGATCCAGCAGTGACTACAAAAGAGGTCTCTGTGGCTAAAAGAAAACCAATCTGGTCTGAAGCGGCACAAATTCTTCAGGCAGCCACTAAATAAAGGGGTGTCTGCAGAGAACTAACCTGTGTATCCATTTCCCTTTCACAAAGGGCTTCAGCTGACACAAGGATGATGACTGAAAGGCTGCTCAAACCTGCAACGTTAGCTGTATCAGCAATGATTACTGGTCACTGAATCTGGGGGCCTGGCTTGCTTTAGGTACAATATATATTTTTTCCCCCCTTTTCTTCTTTTCATATAAATATACAAAGAGTGTAAAAAACTTTAAAAAGTGAACTTTGCTGTTTTAAACGACAGACAAAGTTTCTGCACATTCAGAGATCAGCAACGTGAGGCCCACCAGGCAGGGACCCAGCAGAGCTTCCATCGGGGAGGACGGCTTTAACCAAGCTGGGTCAGTGAAAGAGCAGGGAGACCGAAGACGTGAAACAGTCGTTTCAATCCACCTCGATCCTCCCCACGATCTCAACTCTTTCCTCTGGAAAGCACGTGGAAGCCCCTCTTGCCCACTCTAAATCCTTCTGGAAATAGTCAAAAATTTGTTATCACCTAAATAGAAAAGAGGAGAAACGCAGACTCTTTGCAAATGGCCCTTTGATCTGTATTAAAAACAGCTCTCAAAGTTCCTCAAGAGTTAGAATTAGTGGGGCACGGGTGAGGGGCAGCTTAGATACGGGATGTAAAATATTAAAAAGTGCTCTGCAACTAATTTCTGTTTTCTGCGGGTACGTGCGTGCGTGTGCATATACACACATACACAGACACGCACATACACACATACATAGATATATCTACACATACATATATATATGTACACATACATATATATGTACGTACGTATAAAGTTAAAAAGTTCTATGATATGATCAGAACAAACGTCCTGGGAAGGTCACGACTGCAGGGCGTGGGGCCTGTTGGGGTGGCAGATGGGGCACTCGCCCTCCTCGGCGCACGTCTCGCACAGCACGGCGTGTTGGCACGGTAACACCACGCGGTTCTCCTCCTGACACTTAAGGCATTTCACTGACTGCATCTGAAATACTGCCTGCGAGAGACCAGCACAGGGCAAAACGTAAGCGTTGAATGGGGAAAACAACAGGGCCACGTGCTGCACGGGCTGGGGAACCGCAACACCCGTTCGCCTCGCGGCGCAGCACGAAGCCCTCCTGTAGGAGCATTAGGATCAGAGCAGTTCTGAAGGACTGGAAATTCTGTTTCCTTAGGTACAGAGAAGAGAATTCTATTTTCCTAGAACTCACATTGGCTACGTTCACATAGAACTGCTTCGATAGGCTGCTGATTGCTGGCAGTAGTACAGAAAAGCAGGGCAGCTGCTATCAGTAGGAGCAGAGGCAGCAAAGCCATCCCCTGCAGAGCCCTGCCACTCACCTTATCGACCTTCTCCAGGTTTGCCCGCAACTGCTTCTGGAGGGTGTAAAGTGAAGAGAGTGAGAGGGTTTCCAGGTCAGAGGAGCGCAGAAACTGAGGGTCCTGGCCTGTGTGGATCCTCTCCAGCTCCTCCTGTAGTTTCTTCACTTGCAGTTCCAAGGCTTCCCTCTGCTCCCGAGCCAGTTCACATTCCATGTTAGCTGTGTTGGCGCGATCGTTTGCTTCCTCTGCCTCCTTTTTCCAAGCATCACAAGCCTGCAAATTCCAACCAACATGGTAAAAGAAGCTGTTTAAATACTTGATCAGCCTCCAAGCGAGAATCCAGGGCAAAAATAACCATTTCCATGCTCTCCTTCCCAGGAATGTATTCTGACCAACCTGCCCAGTTCCCAAATTCTGAAACCCCATCGTGCTTTGCCTCACATTCTGGGTACCCCTCCAGTTGGGCTGCAGTTCCATATAGTTGGCCCACAGAGGTAATGGGATGAAAATTGGCATAGCAATAAAATCTCATCCATCTAAGTGAACTGCCGGGCCTGAGAGACTGTCAAACACTTCAGTGCTCGTAAGACACCCTCCTACACCTCTACACTCCTTAAGAAGTTGCCCCCATACCTGCTTGGCTTGTTTCCAAGACTCTTCCCACTGCTTTATTGTGCCGTTGGCTTCATCCAGTTCTTGCCGTAGCCGTGCCAGCTCCGCAGCACCTGGACCTGACAGAAATGCAGGTGAGGTACTGGGCGAAAAACTCCCCGAAGCAAAGTGTTCCCATATGCTGCTGTTCATCCCATTTAAACCTGTTTCACAGGGAAATAGAGAGGGTTATGTCACAGGTGCTGGCAATTCCCCCATTTCCTCCCTACCCCTGTGAAATACAGGATTCAAAAATGTGCACAGAGGAAAGAGAAGATCATCCTATGATTTATTTCATCCCTAGGACCCGGGAGTCCGTCACAGTGGCAATTCACAGGGGAACCATACAGAGTCCCCTGCAGAGTTTTACCCTAAAATTAGTGACCATCACTGTAGAAGGACCAACCAGCCACTTCCTTAATTTAGGATGTTCAAATCATTGCTCTTTCAGGAAGAGAGTCAAGGCTTAAGAGACAAAGCAACAGAGAAACAGCTGAACCAAAGCTGACTGTTTTTGCACAGACTCTGAAGTTTGTAGCTTTAAGAACCAAAATGCATTTACACAAAATAAGCATCCATGGGGAGAACTGGCAGGGAAAGCTCCCACACAGGCAGAGCTGGATGACCCCCTCTGGTGCACCCATTTGATGCAGGAGTCCTTTTCACTCAGTGGTGCTTACCACCGCGTGTGGGCACTGCCAAACATTGCTGCAGTGAAGATTGTGATCTTACAGATCAAACTGACTGTGTTTGCAAGCAAGCCTCTCACTGAAGGCTAACCCAACACAACCTACTTCCCAGTCAGGGCAAGCCAACAGCAGCTGAAAAATAGTAAGTTGACTTGACTCTGGGCTTAGCTGCATAAACAAGTCATGCAGCAGAGCAGGAAGGGCTCTTCACTGACTGAAGCCACTTATCGTCGGTGCATTTCACTGCTCAGTTGAGAGCAAGTTGTAACAGAATCCCAACTCACATTTTGTTTTTAAAGCTCTTGAAAAGGAGTCTAGCACTGAGCAGGCTTCTGGCAAGTCACAGATGCTGCCGTGATGCTGACCAAGCTCACCTCATGGCTTCTTTTTACTCCCTTTCCACCTGATGCTCTCATTGGACATTTGAAATAGCAAGTCCCTTTGACCACGAATGCCTTCTCTGCACAAAGAGCATCTAACACAATGGGAACCAGCCCAGGACTAGGTCTTTCCAACTAAACTGCAATACAGATAAGCAATAACTACACAGCAGCTTATATTCATTCAGTAAATCATATGGAAAACCATTAAGTAATAGCAGAGATGCCCTCTGAGGTCTCTTTTCTTATTACTGCAATTGTAGAAGCTGTTACAGCCAAACAAATAGGAATCACAAGGCATGGAAGCATGGCTTTGGCCTCTGCAAACAAGTGATGCAGTTACACAGATAAATGCATGCGGCAGTAGATTACAAAAGCATTTAATCATTTTATTATGTTAAGCTGAATATTAGAGATTAGAGCACATATCACATCTGAAGAAGCATTTACTTCTACTATAAACAGAATTAGTATTTACTGTTACAAACAGAGAAGTCAGCAGAGCAAGTGTCATGTAGTCTTGAGGCCATCAGTTGTTTATCAAAGTGGACACAGCTGGAACACTGACTTTGGTCCACACTGCACCAAATATGGAAAACAATTCAATGAACTCAGTTGGTTCAGAAGCCAACCCAACCTACGAAGCAGACCCAAGAGCAAACTGCAATCCCCACCTCAACCCAGCAAAGCTGAGAACTCAACCCTAGTGAAGTCACAGCAGAATGCTGCTGGTAGGAAAGGACAGAGCTCTTTTTCCTGTTCTTTTTCTCAGTCTAGAAGCATGGGGAACAGAGAGAATCACTCCCTTGTTCTCAGGATATTAACCAGCTCTCGGTAAAGCAGCTTCTGGTACTGCTGCTGTTCTCATGGGAAGAAGAGATAAATGGCAGCAGTGAAATAATACATTAAAATTAAAACTAACTTAAAAGAAAATACTTACATGGCACAGACAGGCATGTACATGGGACACACACACTGTGCATTTACCTAATGATCCATGAGAAGCTGATGTCCCCAGGAACGTGTTTTCTGATTGGCTTAAGTGTCCCTGGGGCTGATGGAGGAAGTGCGATGAGAGGCTGACCGGTGGAGAAGGAGAGGCAGAGTGAAAGGAGGCAGAGCTTCCAAGGGACCCGGGGATATTTACAGGAGCAGAACTTTGCAGCAAACTCCCACCTGGACAAAGAACACACAGAGAGGATGGCTATGTATGACCATGAAGCATGGGCCAGAGCACAGCGCAGGAGCTCAGAGCAGAAGGCGTCAGCTTCCCTCTCTCCTAAGACCCTCAGGATTCCCTCCACTTCTCACTGTGTTTGATTTCCCCTCTAAGCCTTTAGGAGGAGCACTGAAGCTGCTGTTCCACGAGCCACATAGAGTAAGACTCTGCAGAGTTCAGTGCACTGCTCTATCATTAGCCAAAGCAGCAAAAGGTTTTCTGAGCCAACTTCAGCCCCTATTAGTCTAGAGAAGATGCATCTGCTATCTGCTGAAATACTTGGTAATGAAAAATTCCCTTTTAAAGCATGTTCCTCTGCCTTTCACGCTTCTGAACAACCTGCAGTGAGAAGACTGTCATGCTGAGCCAGCTCATGACCTGATCTTTCGAAAATCAGTGACTAGCTTTAGGTATATTTGAATGTTTAGACCTATCTGTAATGAAAAACAAACAAAAACCTAACCTCCAAAGACAAAACACTTCCCTTACTCAAGAGGTTGGTCTGCCTGCCACACACACATTGAGGAAGATCTCAGCCCTGCTGCCCACTCTTTTCTGATCTTCCTTCTTGGAAGACCACCAGGTAACACCCAGCCCTGACACAGCAGAGGAAAAGCAGTGTGGAGGATCTTGAAGCCACTGCAGATAGCAGTGGCAGAAGCAAGGCTACCAGTACACTCTCACAATAAGCTCTCTGACCAGACTCTCATCTTTGGAAAGGAAGTGGAAGTGATATTCTTTAGGGATCCTTCCACACCTCAGTACAACTCCAGGTAATGCAGCTCCCTTGGAAACTTTCAGGAAAGCAAAGTTAGCTCCAAATCAAAACCCATCTTCAAGAACCAGGGCAACCAGAAACTACACCACTTCTGAAAAGCTATGAGATCTCATTTTTCCCTGGATGGAGACAGATAGAAGAGGCCCCTGCCTACCTCCACACATTAAAGACGAAACAGACATTGCAGGAATCAAACCAGCAGTTCATGGCAACACTCTGAGACAGATGGATAGCATTACCAGGTCATTGAGTTTCCTGTTACTACTAAGGAGAATTTTCTGCTTAAGATGCAAATCGTTATACTTCGGACTGGTTTTAAAGGTATCAGATACCTTCTACAGTCTACTTACATGCTATATAAAAAAAACCAAAACAAAACAACAAAAAAAATTCAAGCAAGTCCCATTCAGTCTTAAGAAACATCCCCAGGACACCTGGGCCTAATGGCAAGAACTCAGCCCTGCTAGTCAACTAGGGCAAGCTTTCACTTGAAAGATGCTCAGCGGTTGCCAGTTTGTTATCATAGCTGTTTTTTAACCAATGTTATTTGGGACTGGTTTTAGAGCTTCGTTGGGCTGGCTCCACTGAGGTGACTGGGCAACACTGCTTGGCAGAAGATAAAGAAAGCTCTGTTGCTTTCATGTACCTATCATGATGCCACTCGTGTGGGGCACTGTGCTGCTGTCAAATGTCTTCTCCAGGGCAGCCACTCCGAATTCATTCAGGTCCAGGTCATCCAAGGCAGACTCTGCCAGACACAGAGGTACCAATTATGTTATAAAGGACCAACAACTTCAAGAGATAGGATGGCCCAAAGAGCCTACATGCAGAGGAGCCTTTGCTCTCTATTTGTCAGTCTGCACAGCCCTACTATCCGTCCTGTGCAACAGTTTGGCAGAAGTGTCATGGGCAGCTTTTCAGTTCAGGTTTTTTTGCCAGATCCAATTTCTCTTTGTCTCAAAGCACTTCTAATTGTTATGTTAAAAAAAAAATACAAATATTTGATGAAATAACAGAAGTTCCCATAAGTCTTCCCCAAACAGCTCTTTCAAGTCCGTCCTCAATATGCAACAGCACTAGCTTGTGAATGTCTGGGTCTGGCTTCTGCTTTGTCCCTACTTTGTTGAAGAGCCGCTTGGAAAGGAAAACCAGCAGAAGGGAACACTTCAAAATCATCTCTGAGGTTCAAAGATGAGAAAAAATAAAGAAAGGTTATGAATGCCTGCGAGTGTTACATCTACCTGAACGTACCTCATCACTAATCTCGATCAAAATAGTTTCATCCCACTCATGCCACTCATTTCTATTATTATTTTTAACAAATTAATGAGATCACCTCAGAAATGTTGGATTAAAAAAAAAAACAGGTGGCCAAAAAAAGTGTACCTACCTAAAAGGAATGATTCCCCACTCTTAACTCTTGTGTTCTCCTTTTCTTTACAGCCTCTGTCCCACATTCTGTAAAGGGCAAGTCCTTGCAATCTACCTGCTGGTGGTCCTTGCAATAAATTTGCAGTTTAGAATATAAAGTGTTGTAGCTGTAGAAAATGCCCTGTTGATTTCCTGCCTGCTCCAAACCCTTTTCATCAATTTGACAAACCTAAAACTAAGGCCCTTTACATCATCTGACATTTCAAATAAGTGGCAGAGGCCTTCTGTTTGTCCTCTGGGTGAATTTCACCTATAATGACCTGTGGAAAACATGTGATGTCCTGGTCACAGAAAAAACCTACAGCCTCAGGAATCTGCCAACACTGACACAGATGAAAAACTGGAGTTCACTGGAACACCTGTGTTATCCCAGTTCTCATACCTGGTGATCCACGTCTGAGGAAGCCCAACTAGCAAGTGAAAATGGCAAAGTTACCTATGACAGACTCAACGGTGTCACTGGTTGGGTAGAAAGGAAGGGCATTGGCATTCATGCCTGGTATGCTGCTGGTGCCAGCGGGGCTTGGTGGTGTTGCAGCCAGACTGGAGGTGATACTGGAGGAGATGCTGGATGTCAGTGGGCTCCCCACTGGGAGAATACCCAGTATGTCCTAAAAAAGAGAGTTTTAAAATGGAAAGATGCACAAAATAAGACATCTATATAGAAAAATCCCTTCAAAAACATGCAGGCATGAGCCAAAGATTAGCAGCAAACCTGTTTCTGCCTGCTTCCAACCTGACAGATGGCTGGTGCTACTACTGGGCTGGGGGTGGGGGAGAGATTAACAGCTTTTCTTTAATTTCTGCCGACTTCTTTTTTTCCCTCCAGTATTACAAACATCCTTCAAGCTGCCCCAGAATTAACTCTTGTGACCCACAGGTTGCATGCAATCATAGGGATGGGTCCCACAATCACTCACTCAGACTTAGTTCAGTACGCGACTTAGAACCTGATATTAAATTCTCTTTGCCAAATCCTTGAACTTAGATGACTCTGGAGATCCATTCCAGCTCTATTTTCTGTAACACTGGAACACTCTCTGGCACTACTGTCCAGGTCTGTGCATTTTTCCTGAATTCACACAGGCCCAGCCATTCACAAATAATTCATCCCCCCAATAACCCCATATTCATAAAATAATCCATCAAGCTAAGCATCCTCATGGTGTCTGGACTGACATTTGCTCCCTGCAGAGTCGTCTGGATCCATAGAGACCTCCTGTCCTTGTCTGTGGCAGCGTGAGCACTAAGCCAGCAGTACTGTACCTGTTTGGGCTGTAACAAAGGTTGCTCCTGGCTCCTGTGTTCCAGTGAATGGGACTTCATTTTTGCTTGCTACAGTAAACAAACAAAACAGAATATAAGCAGAGGGATTAGCAGCAAAATTAAGAATGGCTGAGTGCTGGCTTCCTTTGGAGCGGCCATGGGAAGCACAGTCCCCACCTCTCTCATGCTCTGCTTTGGGCACTGGAGAATTGAGGGAGCAGGAGTATGCAGCAAACTGTGAGTATGCACAAAAACACTCCAACCTATTTGGCTTTCTATATACCAAGACATTATGCTTGGAGTTATGCAAAGACTTGACACAATTACATTTGGCTTGAGTGCTCTTCAGTGCTGCTATACTCCTGTGCTGGCACAAAGGACATCATAAGAACCAAGACCAAGTACGACTTATCTTGCCTTGCCATAAATAACTCACCACCCCTCACAGTATCTAAAATAAATAAATAAAAATAGGGCCAGAACCAGCGGGAGGCACACTGCACTTTTAAATTATGTAAATATTTTGCAGCTTTGGGAAAATAAAGTATGCAGATTATGTTTTCTCTCAGTCCCTCCTAGTTCTCAGCTAGTCTTTCACAGTTTCTAGAAGAAGAGAACGGATGTAATATTAAAGAGAACAATTTTATGGGGAAGAATCTGGATCATCTCATCAAATTCCTTTCATCATCAACAAAAATAAAGTGATAACAGAGCAATTTTAAAAGCAAAATCATCCCTCTCCCATCGCTTGAAACAGAGGCCTCAAGGCTATCAACACTGGCTGGAATTGCAAAACTGCCAACATGTATTTAGATTTCCACTATCCAGTCTAAAAATTCAGCTTCAGGATGTTGCAGCACTACGTCCTTAACAGATTTCAACCCTCTTGTCTCAAGACATCAGTCAGCGCTGAGCTACACCAGGCAGAGCTGGGAAGGATGTGGTCTCAGGAGCCTGTTGGCCTGTAACCGTCTGCAGCCTGTGCTCTGCTCCTCCTATGCTGCTACGTGTGCAATAGCAATGCACAGAGAGATCAATAACACCCTCTGCACACAGAAAGGGGGCAAAGTAACTGCTCAGAGTCAGGTCTGCTTGGTTGCCAGCTCTCTCCATCTGAATCAGAGACGCGGTCGAGGCACAACGTCTGCTCAATCGTTTGCATCGCCATCTCTGCAGAACAAAATGCACAACAGCAGCAAGAGATGTCATGCTGGCCTGAAGCAATACACCTTGATTTCTTGGCTTAAACAGTCTAGAAAAGAAAGATAACCAGGTGCTGGAGAGGTATGACATAGCCAGGCAGTACAAAGAGTAGCAGCAGCAGGATCCATCCCCCATTTTCCCTGATTAGATCGTTTTCTCTGCTGAACTCTCTGCCTTTGAGCAGATTTGGGCGGGGAGGGGAGAGGGTCAAGGCCTGGCAAACAGGCAGCCAAGATCCTTCTGCAGCAGGTACCATTCTCTCACACTTTTCCGAGCTGCATACAGCATGTTTACATACAGCCAAACTGCTACCACACCAGCCACAGGCTTGGCTTCCTTTGTGTGCAATGGCTGAGCCGCATTACTGCATCTGTGTGCGCCTGATAACACGCCTGCTAGATTAGCCAGCACATCCCTGCCCTGTTTGACACTCATCTGAACACAAGATGTGCTACCAACAGATGTCAGCAGCTGAAGTGAAGGCACACACAGCTGTGCCCCCTCAGTGTGAGGTTTTCCTGCCAACGTGGCTGGCTCCAGTGCTGCCCAGCCTTCCTGGAAGCTTTGTGCTTTTTTCCTCCTTTAAAGAAAAAAATGAATGCATTTGTGAGCTAGCCCCACTTCTCACCACCTTGCATCCAGGTAACATCAGTGTAAAATGGAGTAAAGCAATTGTCACTGCTAAGCCAGTCTCCTTTAGCTCTAGAAGGGCACACACCGACACAGCAACGCAAAGGGCAGGCTGAAACTCTCCAGCTCACGCTGTGGCAGTCAGGAAAGCAAACAGAGGCCATAAATTATGAATGAAATTGAATCTTGTATGACCAGCACGGAACAAGGCTGCTGGACTTCCCAAACACCTCCTGGTTGTGGCACTCGGCTCCTTCCAGTGCTGCATTTTCCAGCTTTGAGAATTTGGAACAGTATTTTTAGCCCTCGCTGCTGGCTCAGCCTTACCACAAACTATGTGGAATCTGCAAACACATTTTTCATTCTAATAGAGATAGGAATTATTTGTACTAATTCTACAGAGGAAAAGAATTGCAATCTTAGGCAGTGACGAGCCCGAATGCCTCTTAAATTTTCAAATAGGAGTGAACAAAGTTAAGTGCCTAATTACCAGTGTAATTTACAGCATGCGTGAGAATCTCTGGTGCCCACAGCAGCCAAAGGGAATTACTGGAGATTAAAAAAAGTAAGTAATTATACATTAACACAAAATTTAATCAGGATGCTTATGAGACACCTAATTTTGTCTTCAGAAGCCTAACATAAGGCAACTGTGATTACTTCCATCTTTTTTGTTTAATGACTGGAATAAATAGCTGCTAACACCAGGTTTTTTCTTACTTAATTAAAGCCACATGAGTAAGAAACTACCTGAATACAGTATCTTTGTAACACAGCTTGGACCTCAGACATAAATACTCATCATCTGGCTCCTTTTAAAAGCTCTATTCAAGCTCCATCTCCTTTCTCCTTGGCTTAGGCTTGCTGCCCATTTTCTCCAAAGCAGGGCCTCCCTGGCACCCTGCCTCTGCTGGCAGGAAACAGGGATTCTCTCAGCCCTTCAGCTTTGGGTTCACTCCTCCTTTGCAGCAGAGGCAACAGAGAAGGAGCACATGCTTTCTTCTTTTGTTTCTAAACAACTGCTACAAGCTGTGGTGCCTGCAAGCAGTGCCAGGATCACAGCACGGGCTGCGCTTTACCTCCAAAGATGTGCTGCAGCAATTTGCAATCTCCTAACTCACATGTGCTTTAAATAAAAACAAAGGAAGCATTTACAAGAAAGCCTACGTGCATACAGCTTCATCTGTACGTGTCACTAAATCATTTTAATTAGACTAAACAGTGTTTGAGACTGGTCCCACTGCAAAGTTTCATCATATTTTCCCAAAGTTGTAAAAATAAATAAGAGAAAACCCACTGACCCTGCTTCCAAATTCGACTGCTTTCTGCAAGATCTTATTTGGACAGGGCATTTCCACTGCTTTCTCACAGCAGTGCAATACTAGCAAGGCAAAAAGCTTATTAAGGCTTCTTAAGACTACAGGAAGAGTTTATATGTAGCCAGGTTGAAGGCAGCATTTATTGTTATCTCTGTTTTCAAGCAACATATGCTTTTTTCTTAAAAAAAAAAAAAAAAAAAAAGAAAAACAAACAACAAAACAAGAGCTTATCAGACACATTTCTGCATGTGCCTCCTCACAAGGGTAGCTAATCCATCCCCTCAATAGTTACTGTTTTATTACATTTACAAACCCAGTTAGGAATCAAAACCATGCTCTGGGTTGGACACTGCAGACTTGGAAAGGATGGTGCAGAGAAAACTATTTAACCATAACATCAAGAAAGGAAATTCACAGAAAGAAGTTGACTGTGGAAAAGCTAATGTGGCAGAAGAGATGGAAGAGACTGAGGCACAGGGAGCAGTTGTGTAAGACGTGACTTTGAGAAGGAAGCAGCGAGGCAAGACCAGGGTATTCAAAAGGGTACAATGTGTGTCACTAGGGATGTGAATTAGGTAAGGGTTCTTCAAATGAGAACAAGGAATTTAAGAAGAAGCCAAGAGAGAGTCAAGGATCAGAATGATACAGCCAGAGAAACAAAAGACATTTGTAACACGCTGCAGAGATGAATGCTGGAAGCAGAAGATAAACCAAGTTATGGAGATGAAGGTAGGAGTCCGTAATGAAGTCAGAGAAGGAAGGATGAGTTTCTATGAGACAACGTAGCAAAAGAAGCAGTAACTCTTAACAAGGACCTAAATATGAAGAAAGAAAGAGCAAGACGTGGTATGTGGGAAGATACCCGGGGTCAACAAAGGACAGAATTGTCAGGGATTATGAAAACAACAAGCAGCTCAGCTTCTACAAACTGAGCACATGATGGCAGCTGGGCAGACAGGAACAGATGTGGGATGGAAGAGACTCAAACTGATGCTGAAAGCACAGATCTGAGAACTGCTACTGAGTATAGCCCTGTGTCCTTTTCGTTCCTTGAAAAATGAAAACACATTCAAGCCAGACTGGGCAATTTCTCCATCTTCTTCATCCCCCCAACTCTTCCAGCCCATGCTTCCTACTAACCTGGCATTTGAAACTCTTCAAATACTCGGCCCCCACCTGATCTTCTCGCTCAAACCCCGGTGCTTTCTTGTAGCTGCCAGCTGCTGTTACTGAATCTGGAGGAAAACCAATGCTCTCCAGGCTGTGTGGCTTTCCAATCGCGCCAGGAGGAGACCCACATATATTAGATGGGCTTCCGAGACTGCTGTTCCTACAAAGAATCTAACAGAAGGAACAAGTGTCAGAAAATTACAGCCAGCTCGTGGCACCAACTCGAAGAAGAAAGGCATCACAGGAAGAGTTCATTCAATTCTGTGTGGATCAATTTTACTGACAGTCAACACAAGTGTAAAAGCTCACAGAAAACAGGAATTAAAAAACAAGGAAAAGCCCCAGGATAGACAGGATTTATACATTCCCACTATTATGGTTTTCTTGCCAATACTTTGTACTGGAATGCAAGCTTACAATAAGACAACCTACAGCTCTAGAAACATCTACTCTTTCTGAGGCCTTGGATATGATTAAACCTGACCAAAACCCTTCTCACTGCCCTTAGGCTGCAGAGTGCTGTGGAACCTATCTGTGCTCTGAGAAGTAGTGTGAAACCTGGAAGGGTACTGTGGCAGTCAGAACAACCAAACGTATCTGAGCTGTGAGTAATACTGTATTATTTTTGTTTTTCAGTGGGAAATTTGAGAGTTTTAATGCAGGCACAATCCAAGTATTGACAGCTGCATTAAAAAAGACAAAAAAAAACCCAAAACACAAGGATTTCCAACATTTCTATTCGTTGGACTGTAACCAGGGATCACAACCACATGCAACAAGGCTAGTTTTGCACTGCAGATGAAGCCACAGACAGCAGCAAAGGAGATTTAGAGAAAGCTCCTACCTGGCCCAGTGCAGATATCCCATTTTCCTGGGATAGGAAGTTACCTGCCTGCACTGGCAAGCATGACTGTGCTTCAAGCAACTTTTAGACAACTACTCCTATCAGAGATTCAAACATGGCACAGTTGGGGCTGGCATTAGAGAGAGGGAATATCCTGCAATATTTTGATATTTTATTTTTTATACAGACATTCTGCTGTCTGTGCTTCCCTACAGTCGCAAAGTTTCTACTCACTGTGGTGGAGGTGGGGCTAGTTGGCAGAGTTCCTGATTTATTCCACACCTACAGTACAAATACAAAACAGAACAGGCCACGTGAGGCTGGCTGCTAGAGGGACCTTTTTCTTTGATTAATTCATCATGTAAAAATGATCACCAGCAAAGCTGTATTTGTTTGCAAGCTACATGCAGATGCCCTATGTCTCAGAAATACATATACTGCCTTCTGGCTTATATCTAGGGATTAGTAAAGAGACTGTTTAAAAGACTGAAGAGCTTGAGGATAGAAAAAGACCTAAACGTGGAAGAGATCAACAATTCTGGACTTTCAGAGCATTCAGACAATTCATTTGAAGGATGCAGGGATTTCGTTTCTCACTTCCTTCTAGTGATATTTACCAAGAGAACACAGCATGCCTTGTCTTTCCAAGATCTATGCAGAATTTTATTTGCAATCAAATTTAACAGAACTAAGGCTGGCTTCGGTGCTAGTTCTGATAAAAAAAATCAAACTATCAATTTTTCTTCTCAAAGGAGAATTTGACTAAACAGAGGTCCCAAACGAGTTCACCTCATTCTGGTCAGCTTGGAAGGGGTTAAACTCTTGCCGTTTAACTTTCTTGAAACCTTGACCAAGTATTTGATAAAGTGTGTAAGCTTTTCAACAGCAATGCAAACAGGAAGGGCTTAATAGAAAAAAAAAAATCCTCAGCAAAAATGAAGTGCTCTGGCATTCCGTGCACTTGTCTTCCTTTGTGTGTTTCCACTTCCCGTTCAGCATTTGAAGATCTCACCTCTCCTATGTTTAACCAGAATACAATCAGTGCTCTGGAGCATGACTTAAACATTCTGCAGAGTTTAACCATCTCCTAAGGAGGAGAAGGAGAGAATGGAGGATATTCTATATCAGAAAACAATGTGCACAGGCCAAGCCTTTGCGTTTACATATGTAAACAAACTCAACTGTAGTTATGTACTTTAGATTATACTGGCTCACAGCCTTTAAGGAGTACTTGGAAACTGAGCCCAATGTGTACCTCCAGAAAGGGAGGCGTTGGACTTCACGTACAGTTGCATTCCACCTTCCTGAAAGTATATCAACAAGCTTTGCACAGGAAGGAAGGCTGAGAAATTTTATAGGTGAAGTGACAAAACTAAACTACTGAACTGCATGTTCCAAACAAAGATCTCTCTTAAACAGCATGGTGCTTAGATCTAAAAGAAAGATGTCATACCCTTCTGTCTTTGGATACCTAAGATTGCTCTTTTTAGGTGAAAGGAGTACATCAGCTCAGAGCAACCCAGATGTATAAAGCACAGACAAGGCCTCCCCACAGTGCTACCTACATTGCTAAGGTCTGGAGCATGTGGACTGGAAGGGCTGACTGGAACAGAATCACCAGCTGCTGATGGCATATACATCACTGGGCCTGCCTGCGTGGGGCTGGACACAGCTGAGGATTGCTGTAGGTCTTCATTAAGTGGAGGCTCTGCAAGGAAGAAAAGCAAGTGGAACATTACTCAAAGAGGCCCAATTACACCAGACCACAAGACATTTAGGAACAAGAATACTTAGTTCTGAGAGAAGAAACATTCCACAAACATCTGTTTAGAAGTAGCACAGAAGCAAAGAGAAACCTTATCTGACAAAGAGCTACTTTTTTTAAGCTAGGATTCCTTATGTTTCTACTTTAACCACTTGTACAGTGAGTGTACTGCTCTTAGTTGGTTAACGCTGCTCCAAAATTATCTTCTTTGCATGAACTGCATGTTATTCACTCAGCTGTCTTGAACTAAGCAAGGCTTCTTTCTGTGCTAGGCACAAAGCTGATGGATACATTATAATTAGCTGAGAGAGATAAGTTTCCATCTGCTCTGGGTACAAACTATTACCAGAAGTAACACACACAGAAAGGAATACAGCTGTCAACTGCACAAAAAGAAAGTGGCATTGACTTCTAGTATTTACATCTAATACAGCTCAGCATCTTTACACCATCTACACAACTGGCACCACACCTATACTGCAATGTCTTTAAAGTACTGACTTCTCCACGTCTCTCGTTAACAACCAGCAAAACTCAAACTAAGAGCATATGCAGTAAATGGACTCCTGTTATTTCAGGTGAATATTTCAGCGCTCACCTTAAAAAGAAAGGACTAAAAAAGTGCAATTCCATAAGATGGCACAAGAAACAGCCACGATGCAGTGAGCTAGCTGGCCAAAGAATGTTACTCTGACTTGAAAGGAACGTAGTACTGAGTGCAGTTATCTGGTTATAAATAAGGATCTCCTAAACAGAAATACTACATAATCCACAAGGGAGTTTGTTAAACACCATTTCATTATTAAGATTAAATTCTCTCTTAAGCTTGCTGAGCAGTTGCACTATTGTGTCTTGGGCCATTACAGCCCACAGCCCTAGCTATAATTACTGCTTGTCTGCAAGGCCTCCTATAAAAGGAACTCTGAAAACCATAGGGAATTTACTCTCACCATTCTTTGACAAAGGCAGCAATTACTAATTCTGCCATTAACAAAAGATAATCAAATAACAAAGATCTGCTCAAGGCCACAAATTGTGTCAGTATCAGAGCCAATCTACTGAGTTATAAGTAACCTGTTCTAATTACTGTAAATTTAACAGTGAGACTGGAGTGCAGAAACTGAGCAGGAGTCACAGGACTTAGGAGCTAACTGTTAGCTACGAACAAAAGTGCCACAAAAGAACACCATCACCAGTTTACCAATGGTCAGATTTATTGGCACAGGCTGCTCAGGAAGTGGTAGAGTCACTGATCCTGGAGGTGCTCAAGAAAAGGGCAGATGTGGCAGTGAGTGACATGGTTGGGGGGGATGGTGGGGATGGGTCGATGGTTGGACTTGTGATCTTAGCGGTCTTTTCCAACCATAATGATTCTATGAATTGTCCAAGTTAATACTCAGCTTTTGAAAATCCTTCACAAAAGTTCTAGCTTTATGGCCCTATATTTTACACTGTCTATTCTGGCCAGAAGCTCTCCATAGTTCAAATATCCATGAAAGATGAGAGAATCAGCCCACGTACGTTCTACGTGTGCAAAGGCACAGAAGGGTCCTCGGGGACAGCTGCCAGACTGCTGCATATCATTGCACTTGGTGGATTTGTAGATCTGAGGTTGGGAAAAAAAAAAAACAAAAACAACCAGACATGAACAGGAAAAACAGTGACTGGCAGCCCAGGTACAAAAGTACTATGAACAGACTCAACAGCAAAATAGAAACACAGATAAAAGGCACAAAGGCCAACAGATTTTGGGATCACCACTTCAGTGCTTTGCTTCGATGAAAGAAAAACCCACTATGGTTATGGAAACACCAAAATATGCCCATTACAGTTAAGCTCACGCAAAGAACACCCCATACAGTCAGTTCACCCAAAGATCACCATTTGCCATCCATTCTCAGTCTCATTTGCAGCTCCACGGAAGTGGTAAAAGGTAGGAAACAGTTGATAGATAACAGCACAGAAAGCTACAGCCACATTTGCAAGGAAAATGACAAACCATTGACAATGGATTGTTCCCCCTCCCCAGGTTTGACAGGCAGTGACAATGGTTACTTGGCTGATACAAGCCCAACAAAGCTTTTCAACACTGTAACACGAAGCAGACCAGGACAAGGTCTCAATTCCACATCCTGTAAGGACACTGGAACTCTCTGGGCATGCTCACTCGGAGCGTGGTTGCTTACAGTATCAGTCTGTGGGTATTAACTGTTTAGTGCAACCATCATCAAAGGAAGATTTTTCCTCACAAAAACAGATGCTTAAAATCCACACCTTGTTTTCACTCCCCCACCCAGGTGTCTGCTCTCCTGCAGACCGGCATTTTCACCCACTTTTCTTACCCCTTCCCATCCAATCTACTGAATGAAAAGGCACCTCTGTCAAGCAGCTGAATTTGAGCTTCCAACATGCAGTTCCTCTGAATCCCAGGACCACGCTGCAAGCAGCCCACACACTCTCCCAGCTGGCACATTTATGCATCTCATCAGCCTGGAATACGTTTGCTTTTCCGTTCAGCTACCCAATGGTCTGAGGAGGTTACTGTACCTCTGGATGGAACTGCTGTTCTGTGCGAGTGTGGCAGTATTGGCACGAGTCTCCATTTTCACACTTACTAGGATCTCCCCACTCATCTCCATGTTTCACACTGGGACATGGTGAAGACCTGTGTAAACAAGGTAGTGATAGACTGTATGGGATACACTAACGTGTTTTGAGCTTTGCTTCCTCAATCAGCAAACAGGCTCAGCTGCCCACCCCCCCAGCTGCACAATCTGTTTGGCTTATTGCTGCTTCCCTGCCCCCACAATGCTGCTCTTACATCATCCTCCCTCTCTTCCTATTTTTCAGTGAAAGAAGCACAGCTTGGTTCTCATCTGAAACTGAATACAACCTGAGCCAATGTAACTTAACAAAATTAGCAGCTGATGTGATTAGAGTCAGAGACGCTTGGTCTGGTTTCTCTTTCAGAACTGTACATTCATAGAAAGCTGGTAAGTTAATTGGCTAATCCTAAAACACGTAATACCCTTACAGAGGTATGTTTCCAGGGTTGTAGTGTGGCCATGTGGAAAAGAGGCTGAGTCAGGTCACTGGGGAAAAGGCAAGCCTGTTTTCTTTCTCCCAGCTTGGAACTGTTCTGTTTCCCAGGTCTGAATTTTTGCTGTGACCTACTTCCTCTGCTCTTTAAGCTCTTACTCATTCCCTCAAACAACAGCAGAGGGAAGCAGATAGCAGCAGCAGATGCTTGCACAGAAGAGGCAGTCACATCAGCTGGGGGTGGGGAAAGCAACACAGAAGTAAGCAGTGATCAGGAAGGGAGAAGCTTTCCCCTTTCCCCTTCCCAAAAGGACGGAACAGGGGTAGAAAGCACATGGCTGCTTTGAAAACTGACTTAGGATTCCAATTCCTCCTGAATGTCTTTGTATTAATGTTCCTTTTATATATATATACATATATATATTTAATTATTGTTTTTAAATACAGGACTTCTGTACCAATTCAAAAATTTCTGTGAATGCTGGGGGTGGAGAAGGGAAGTGAGAACATCCACGGCATTTTCTCTCCTTGCTTTCTGGTCTGCTCTTATGTTTTTCAAAAAGGAACTAAGGAAAAACCCTACTGAGACCTCAACAAAAGCTTTGTTGTGTCAGAGGAAACACGGACTTATAACTTGGATGAAACTTGGTGAGGGAGACACAGCGTGCAGAAAAATCCAGTGACAGCTGAGTGATGAGAACACCCTGGTGCCTCAAAGGCAGTTTTTAGCATCTGGCTAGGAATGCACATCCAGCTACAGTACTGGTCACACTGTGCCTCACGATCCCCATCACTAGGCACAGACAACAAGCAGCTTGATGATTTTGAATTCCTCACCCATGAAAACATTGCTCAGTAAATTTGTTTCTAATAGGGGTCTTTTTTTTTCTTCCTTGCACTGCTTATTTTAAAATAAGAGTTTGTATGAGAAGGGGACGACTAACACAGTCACTATTTACTGTAAAACCAGAGCTGTAACATGATTTAGCAACAGTTACTTATTTATTAGAGACACTGCTTCATCTTTAAAGCAGAAGTCCTTCTTTGTTGCCCTATCTCCTAGACAGAAGTAACAGTCCATTGCAACTGTCAGGACAGGTCTTGGAGGCACACTAAAAAACGGTCTGGCAGAGAAAATCCCAGATCCTTCCCCTTACAGACTCCTTCTGTACCTCACTACTCAGCTGGGAAACAGATGACCCAGGAGCAGGGTACCTGTATTTGTGTTTCCTTGGGCTCCTTCTTCTGTCTTTACTATTGTGATAGTATGGACAGGCATAACCCTGGCGACAGAGACGAGGAGGCTTCTTACACTGCTCTGTCTTGTAATTTCCCAATACATACGTTGTATCTGCAAGAAATACAACCAGTTAGGCAGAGATCACCATGATCTATATCTGATACACAAAAGCTTTGAAAGGAGCATGCACTCCACAAAAAAAAAAACAACAACAAAACAGACCTTTCCAGCCCCATAGAGCTTACTGGCACTCACCTTGCCACCTTGGCTCCTCACTGAGTATTTTCTCTATCATAGCATGGCTAGCAGCAACTGCAGATTGACCCTCTATGCCACCTTCTGATGTAGTCTGACCATTCTGCAAAGCCTCCATGGCCTGAAGCTCCCTTGGTGTTAAGTGAACAACAGACAGATTGAGTAGATGGAGACAGATAAGCACATAGTAAAAACTGTGATACCAACACAGCAACAACCCTTAAGTGGGTATATTTATTTCATACTTCTTTTTTGGCAGAACAATCTTTGTCAAACAGCAACTGCAATACATGTTCTTCATTCCCAAGCAATTCCAGATGCACTATTTTGATGCACCCACAAATCCCCACTGCTTCACTGTGCTCCCTCCCCCCATTTTGAGGATCCTCCCTGGGGATTTTATAGATTTGCCTTATTAGGAATGGATGCACCATGCTCACCCCAACACTAAGTAGTTGGGAAGCAGTACGATCCTTCAATCATCTGAGCATAGCAATCACCCTTTTCATTCAGAGCTATAAGCTCCACTAACCTGATGTCATACACAGGAGAGCGTAAATCATGGGGCCCATGAGCAAAAGCACAGTGGACTCCATTCTTTGTGCAGTTTCCCTTGGAGTCTGTCTCATGGATGCAGATTCCAGTTTTGTAATAGCGTAAGTGATACCTCCTCTCTGTGTCTCCAGTAGTTCTATGCAAGAAGGGACATCTGAGGTACAGGAGAAAGGGAAGAAAAGCCAAACTTTAGTCACACTGCTAGTGAACTCAACATTACTGGAAGACACAGTGATGATAAAGGATGCTGTAAATTGACATACTTTCGCCAACTCTCCTATATTGTGCCTTTCAACATTACACAGAACCCTTAAATCTGTCACTGCATAGTATACAATGGTTTCCCTCCCAAGCAGACAACTGGATTACTAAGCCAGCAGCAGCTTGTTATTCTAGCCTAGTAACTGCCAGGGATCTGGAAAGAGCAAGGACACTGTCAAAGCATTCTGATATACTAGCCATGATTGAAGGGACATCACATGGCATGTACCATTTCCTCAGCAGCCCATCTACACTTCACGCTGTTACTGCTTCCTGCTGATGCACTCCTACAGGGCTGCAACAGTCTATCTATAGCCAGATGCATCCTTCGTGCAGAGCATGGGACAAGGAAGGAGAATCACAACCCCACCACTTTAACTCATGTTTTGTTTCCCCCTCTGAGGCAGAGAAAGTATCATTTACATTGAGAAATACAAAAAGAACGAGATGGAATAGGTGAAATTCGTATTTGCAGTATTAAGCCAACACTACAAGCCAGCAGTTTCGAGATAGCATCAGTTTTCATTGGTTGAGTTTGAGCCAGGTACGAAGCAGTGACCTAGAAGCCAAAGCCCCCAAATGTTGTATTTCCAGTCCCTTCCAGCTCTCTTGTAACAAGGAAGAAAGCACTGAAAGAGGCCTCAGGCTGGGGATTTATTCCATTTTGCTGCAGCCACAAGAACTTTACTTAATTGGGCAAAAAATATTGTTTTCCCAATAAAGAGCCTTTTTTTCTGTGTGTGTTTGTACTGGCACAAAGAAAGCGAACTGAAATTCCATCTTTCTATAGCATCTCTATATAAAACACTCTCTATATTTGACCACAGTTTGACTACACTATTTATCTTTCATATCTGTCACGTGGGTGAAGCTGTACTACTGGGTTAACCCTTTAATTGCTGGAAATGGCCACATACATTTGCATCTTGCTCCACTTCAGCTTACCAGCTTCACGACTAGGGATGACCCAACATAACAAACTCTTCCCTCTTGCCATCATCACTGCAACAGGCCTGGCACACATGGATTGCTATTACAGTTTTTACATTTGTTCTCATGTTACGTATGTTACAAAGCTGCTTTGCTGCTGACCTGCCTCATCTCTACAGGACCTGGCTGGAATCAGCACCTGGACTGATCCCAAAAGCCTCATGCCAGCAGAGCAGGGTGCAGATTTCACTTACTCGTCTCCTTCTGGGCAGATTCCTGTGGTCTCATCATACTTGGTACAGTAAATGTCAGGGCTGTAGTTAAATGTCCCATCCCGACGGCGGATAGATCTGCGACGGCGCTGGTTGACAAAGTGCCAATGGAAGCAAGTGTAGGGCCGGTGCTGAGTGCACTTGTGCTGCACGAAGAGAGGGCACTGCTCGGTGCGGAACTCCTTCAGGTAACTGCAGACAGAAAGGCAAAAACAGGAATTCAGGACAGGAATCGTAGAATCACAGGGGCTGCAGGCTGGAGGCGATACTCAGTTCCCCGCAGAGTCAATGCCAGGCCAGCAGCACCCAGCCCTGAGCTGAACCCAGCATGCTTTCGTCCAGTGCTAAAGGCTGCTGGTTGCCTGTGAGGGGCAGAGCAGTGCCCAGCTTGGTCAGCCCAAACATCAGTGCTAAAGGCAGCTGAAATCACTTCCTATGGCGCCTTTCAGAATCATTGCAAAGAGGCACTACACCAACTTTGGGAACAGCTTGTGAGAACGTACAACTCCTAAGCCCCTTTCCAACCACACACAGCTCTGAATTGGAGACCTGTTGGGGAAACAAGGGTTTGCCTTGCTTAGAGATATATATGCCCAGGTAAAAAAAAAACAAACAAACACAAACTACGCTTCCATCTTTAAAGCTTCAAGTTACTGTGAGAAAAAGATGTAAATAAATACACAGATAAGAAACTTTTTCCTCCCTTTTCCACCTGGTTTATCTTATTTCCTCCTTCAGGCACACGATCAACCACAAGGATAACATCAATCCATCTCTCTGTTGCAGTCTTGTGACCTCAGGACTCATTCCTAAGGAGGGGATAACACCTCACCTCCTGGATGCTTCTGTTGCTTCACTTCCATATGTCACTCTTGGAGAGTACGTGCCTCTTTTCATCCCGAGAACTAAAGAAGCCACAAGCTTTTATTTGTGACACTAATAACAGCCTCTAAACCCAGATTGTAGAGGATTACAAAATGGTTTAGATCAACACGATGATCTGACTGTGATCTGAGTGGAGGTGCTTACAAAACCTACGCTGCCTGAAACCCATCAGCTGTATCTGTAGGTAACGCAGGGATGGCCGGAGGACCCAAATCCCACCAGGTGAGGCTCCAAGAGCAACGCAGGGGGAACACAGCAGTCATCTTCTGGGCTCTTATCTTTGGAGGTCTGTTTAAAGTGCCTAGTAAGGCAATCTGTCAGGCAGAAGAAGTGCTGGGGTCCTGCTGGAAGCAACAGGGTGGTGTAAGAGCAGACAGGGATTCGTTCGGAGCAATATGTGTACTCTGAGGCAATGCAACACAGTTCAGGAATTTGTGAAGTATTCATCCCCACAAGATACCATCTCTCATGGCTCTAAATAAATGGAAATATGCCTGAAGATGTATTTACAGACGGCAGCATACTAGACTCATTCAGAAAGCAACATCCATAAATAAAGCATCCTTCTCCCCTTACCCCTGACAAGAAAGCCTGGCTGATAAGAAAGCCTCAGGAAAATGCACGCATCCAACAAAAGTGATTTTATTTGTTTGCTGTGAGGAGAGAATATCAGTGGCAGGAGCATTCCTACAGTGGATTTTGCCAGCATTCCTTCCTCTCGACCTCCAAACAGTTGGGCTATGCTTTGCCCTCTACCCACAAAGGCTGAGGGCTGACCAGGAGCCCTGCAACAACAGCTGCACAGGGACTAAAGCTCAGTACCAGAAAACATGGTGCAGCACACGGTTCACACGGGGTAGGTAAGGGCTAACAACACTGCTGGGTTCCTTTTCACTTTCAAAAAGCCAACTTGGTTCAAATGGGAGCTCCCCACTATGAGCATAATTCATTTAAAAAGTGAACACTGTAATAAAATTAATTCATGCCTGAAAAGCTCTCCAAGCTCTTGGGCCAAGAACAGGTCTAGAAGGTGGAATTCTATACATTATTTTGTCTTACCAGTGCACTAAGACTTGTAACAACATTTAGGTTAGAAAGTGAATTAAGTAGACTTCATGGGTAGATAGTGATAGGAGAAGGGGAATGGATTTAAGCTAACTGGGGGGAAATTCAGATGGGGTGCGACTAAGAAATTCTTTACCCAGAGGGCAGTGAGGCCCTGGCACTGCCCAGACCTGTGGGTGCTCCATCCCTGGAGAGACCCAGTGCCATGGATGGGCCCTGGGCACCCAGCTTGTGGCAGAGGACCTTTCCAACCCAACCATTCTGTGATTCTCTGATGATTCAATGAAATTTCAGCAGTATGATCTCAGACTGCTCTGCAGAGCCACTGCGAGGTCACCAAACACTCCCTTCTACCCATACATCTCCATGCACGCCCTTGGAGAGATGAGGTTCGTAGAACATCCCAAGCTGGAAGGGACCCACATGGACTGTTGAGGCCAACTCCTGGCTGTCTCTGGTTCTCTGGAAACCAAGGGGAGACATCAGACCCTAACAACCCAGGTACAAAGCATCAAGCCCAACACTCCAGTGCTCTAGCAAGAGAGGGGCTTTTATGAAATACCATTAAAAAACAAAACACAAAAGGAAGAAACAGAAAAGCCTTAAAAGAAACACTAAAACTGCACGATCAGCCAAGCTGAAACAGCTTCTTTTAGCTGGTGAGGTTAAAAACACACACACTGATGAGGGATTTGGGTCTCTGGAGCGTCAATTGATGCTGAAGAGCATTTGAAAATTAATTGCATTTCATGATTGGCTAAACTCCCTGGAGAAACATTTATTATAATGTAAATGAGAGATAATTACATAAGTAAATGGCTCACCTGAGAAGTGTTTAACACCTAACTTGCTTCATCAGAAACTCATTCTTTAATGTTGTCTATTAAACAAATGATCTCTCACTCTTAATTTCAAAGCAAGGCCTGCCAACAGGTGCTGCTAAGCCCCCACCAGCACCCCATCATCCACCATGGAGCCCAACAGAGGAAAACCAGCACTGCCACATTAACTCACACATTTCAAGCCCTTCAATCACTGCTTCAGCTTTTTCTTTTCTCAGCCCACTATAACGTTTCAAATTACCCTTCTCCACAATGGCCTGAATGGTAAACTGCCTCACAGCCCTGTGTTTTCTTGATTGATGAAGTGAGTTTTGTCTCCTTTGGGAGAACACAGGCCACTCAACCAACCACTCTGTATTAAAATATATGAAAGACGTCCAACCCACTTGCTTTGGGAGCAGAGAAAGGATACACAGCCTTTGCACGACTGATGGCTCACAGAGCAGAATGCTATGAATATTTCAGTGGTCTTTCTGCAAAGGCTCCAAACAGAAACACACAGATCCTCCCAGTGCACGTGGTCCTTGCAGGTATTTTCCCAACAGAGCTGAGAAAAGGAATTTCTGAACAACCCTTCAAACATGTAGAGCAGCAGTACGTATTTCACAGCACGTCAGCCCCACGCCGTGCCTTTGCAGGAAGGGGAACTCTAGTAACTGTAGCTTGCATTTCTCAACTTCTCTCTAAAGGTCTCACGAAGACACAGGAGGGGCAGACATTCCCACCCTTATTTCATACAGCAGTTACTCCTGTATTTACTTTTAAAAGACAGAAGATTCATCAGTACTCTGCAAGTCACTTCAGGAGCACTTCCACTTGTATGTGCATGGATGTAGCATTTCCAAGCTCCAGTTTTGAAGTGGCAAGCACATAGCTTGATCTTCTGATATCACTTTATGTCAACAGCAACACCCAGGTTCCCGGAGGAACGCTTATCATTTCTGATTCCTATTCAACAAAGACAAATGCAATTCTAAACAAATAAGCCACAGCTGGCCAGAAGAACACGCAGCAAAGTCACCAGGCCGAAACGAGCACGCAGCTGAGCAGGATGGACACAACTAGAAATGAAGACTTATTTCACTAGGAAGACAAGAGGAGAAGTTATTAAACTAAATTTGAGAACTCCCAGAGGCTAAAGGAGGGGCGAAGCATTAGGGAGGATAAAAGATCATTCCACTTCCTCTGGGGTGGGAAGTGGGAAAGAGCAATAATTGCTCCCTGTAATTTACGCCGTAGGAGAACCGCCAACTGCTCGCAACTGCCAGCACAGCTCTGCTCCCCAGGCAGCACAGCAAGTGCTTGTGTCTGCAGCCAGCACTGCAGGCTGCTCCCTTCTGCCTGCACGGACTGAGCTGCTCTGGGATCTGCAGGGACAAAGAAGAGCAAGAGGAAGCTGAAAAATAAAATTAAAAAATATATATACGTACACCCTTCCAAACATCACCAAACAACTTTAAAACTAAAAAGTTGTTTTGAAGAAACGCTGAGCAGCTTCATTTTCAAACTCAGTGATTGCAGCCTTGCTTTGCTCACCATTGCTGTATGCTCAATGCTGCAGCTTTGCTGTTTGGCTGTGGCTGCACCCGGCGTGCCCAGGCAGCTCAGCACAGGGCTACCTGCATCCAGGGCTGCAAACTTTCTGCCAAACTTCCTGAAGTCATGCATGCATTGGTGTGATCTCAACTCGGGAAAGTGCATTGGGAATGCCTGAAGACAGCTGAGCTCTAAATTCTTTGTTAAAAGCCCTACCCAGAGCTCCCCGAAATCACTGGAAGACTCACAATGACACCAAGGGAGAAATCTCTGCTTTATAGCAGAGGGATCAGGAAGGCTGGGGAGAAAAGATGGAAAAGAAAGAAGAAAAAAAATGACTCTTCCAAATCACTGTTCTTCCCATAATGCTAACACTGTCCTATTTGCAATCTTTCAATGCTAGCTCCTCTCCTTTGCAGCCCTCCTTTCTCCTCACTGTCAATTCCCTCCCTGCCAAAATTCATTCGGGGATCCAAGAGAGCACTGAGGCTAATCAATCGGATCTAAATCCTCTGCAGCAGGACGACACCACAGAGACAACCATTAGATAATTGTTTGGCTAATCCTGACTAAGACAGTGCCTGTAAAAGTAGGATAATAGCAAGATCGAGTCTGGTATCACCTAGATTTGGCGTGTTCATGGGTGTGCGTTTACATCCATGACACAGCACTAACACACCCTTAATAGCACCTGGTTCCAGTGCTGTTTATTTTGGTGTAAGCCCAGAGCTAGGGACAGCTTTCTAAGAGTTCAGTGGCTTGGAGCTGGAAGCAGTGCCTCGTGTCCATGGGGCTCCATCCCTGCAGCTCTAGTGAGGAACCACTCCAGGACACAGCACAGGGCACACTAAGAAATCAGCCCAA